GAGAGGTGGCGCTCTCACTACTTGATGCTACTACTTGATGCTAATACAAGGAGCATCTCAGCTGGCACGCTACGCGATGCAACTAGTCGTGGTTGGCAGGGCTTTTTTTCTCAGAGAAAAAGTGCAGGAACTCACCCGCCCCCCCCCCCCCCTCCTAGGTCACGCCCCTACCAGCCCCTAGAACCGCCAACTAAAACTGCCCTCTCCCCAGAACCGCCCCCCCTTTAGAGAACAGGGAACCAAGTATAATTTGGGGGGCTATATACGTAATTTGTATGGAATTTGTTAATAAAAAAGCAAAGCAAACAGTTAGAAATATCCAGCACTTACCAAAGTAAGCTCAGAGGCACTTCCAGACAATTTCAGCATTCTTGTCATATGTTTCTTCTTTGCTTCTCACATCAGTAGCATCCCCATATATTCAGCAAAGAGACATTCCCAAATATCCAGCAAAAAGCCAGCCATGTCCAGCAAAGAGACAGCCCCAAATATTCATAGAGACATTCCAAAATATTCAAAGAAACAGCTCCAAATATCCAGCAAAGAGACATTCCCAAATATCCAGCAAAGAGCCAGCTCTGTCCCACAAAGAGACAGCCCCAAATATTCAAAGAGACATCCCAGAATATTCAAAGAGAGCATCAAGTGTGGTTGAAGGTGGTTCAGATGAGGTGGAACGTGGCTTTGCAGTAAGCACAGTGGATTCCCTACAGCTTCAGGACAGGGAGTTAGGAAGAGGCTTCAGCAAAGATAGAACAGCTCCAGAAAAGAAGAATAAGCCAAGGAATCCTGTGGCAAACAGGGTGAAGACTAAGTATAGAGAACAGTGGGACCCAGTTAAGATTTTGGGTAAGGTGTACCTAAAAGCACACCCAGAAAAAAGGTCATGACTGACAGCTGGCACCGAGGTGTCCCAACCACCAAGGACAGGTGCATGTGTTGCTCTTTCCTGATCAAAACAAAGAGGAGGGGTATGTGACAGTGCTAGGCCCTGCCACGCTGTGAATATAAGAAAAAGACACACAGGATTCGCATTAAGGCAGAGTACAAAGCTCCAGAGCATTGCTTTTGAATGGAGAAGACTGGCTTTTCGGTATTCTCTGGGTTTTGTAATCCCAGATCAGGGCCTGAAGCTGGAAGGCTCCAAAGTGTCTTGGGTCTGAGCCTTTAATCCTGAGTCTTGCTGGAGATGCGCAGACCATGTGAGTGCAGAGTAGTTACAAGACAGGCCTTATCATAGCTCAAGGCTCCCATTTGGAGAGAGACTTGTGTTCCTACCAGGAGACTGAAACCTATGTTGCCCACGGACTGGGAGAGTCAATGCAGCTGCGTGAGTTTGTGAAGACTGAGAAAGCTGACATAGATAGCGAGTCTGGAGGACTGGAGGAAGTCTGTAGGCCTCAAAAGGAATGTGAGAACCCAGGGTGCCTAAAGACCCCATAGGTCTCCAGAGGAGTGTGAGAATCCAGGATGCCCAAAGACCCCATATCTAGAGGCCAGGAATGGCCCCGTGAAGTAAGGTGCTGCAACTAAAGGTTAATTGACCCAAGGGAGCCTGGTAGCAGCGATGCTGCTAACAAGTGTGCCAGATGGCTTGGCATTTTTGTTGACTGTTTGCTTTGTGAAGCCCAAGCTCCTGCATGGGCATCTTTATATGTTCTTTTGTTTTCGTTTTTTTTTAAAAAAAAGTGGACCGGCAAGCCTTTAAAAAACACACAGTTCGGACTGACATTGACTTCAATATAACACATCCACCACTAAGCTAAAGCTCTCCCAATATTACAAGATGCATAGAGTACAGGGCCTATTTAGCTAGCAGGACATCAGGGTTCTGACAAGGAATGCCAGGATGATGGATTTCAGAGTTATTTAGCAGGTATGTGGCACTCTGTGTCAAACATACCTGAGTTTAACAGAATAGAGCAATGCTAAAGTGCTCCTGCTCATCAAACAACCAGAATTCACGATTCTGTAATTGTCACTGTAAGAGAAGTTCTATTTCCTATGGGATACTGCTTTAGAAATGTTCCTGTTTAAAATGTTTTTTCTCAACATTTCCAAACTCTTGCATGCTCCTAAGGATTGCAAACTGTTTTAACAGTTTTGTTTAGATGAAAAGATTAGAAGTTGTCATCGCTGGTACTGTTGCATATGGATTACATGTAGAAGTCCCCATATAGCATTTGTTGATCATATGCAGTTATGGCAAATATGTCAGGAATAGGCATTTGTAAGAACCGGAATATCCACTCTTATGGCTTATGACTATGTCTTTTGTTTGCATCAGAACTGCTTCTCTCCGTAGACAAGTTAATGGGAACTAAAAGTACCTTGGAGCAGGTTGATTCAAGGAAGGAAGTAAACTGCAGGCTAGACGAAGGTCAAAAGCACCTGAAAGTACCTAAAATGTAGCAGAATGTACCTAAAATTGTGCTGCATTTCTCCATGAAAAGAAGCACTTAAAGGCTAAATTTACCTTAGCAGTAGAATGGCATATGCAGACGAGAGACCTCAGGCAGGTCCAGGACATGAGAGGTGGGGGTAGGAGGGGCATCTGCCCTGGGCACAGAGTGTTCATTGGCAAGAGGGGGTGCTGCATGACAAGTGGCACTTTACGTGATCCCCAATGCTTTCCTGGTGGAAGGATGACAATTCCCCCCCCCCCCAGATAATCTTGCTCTGTGAGTATGGGGGGAGGGGTGCAGATGTGCGTTGTAGACAGGGGTTCAGAGGTGAGTTGTGGATGGTGGGGTGTAGAGGTGAGCTGCTGACAGGAGGTGCAGAGGTCAGCTTTTGGATGGTGGTCTGCAGAGGTGAGCTTTAGATGGGGGGGTGCAGTGGTGAGCTGAATACAAGCTGGCAGACCTAAAGCTCTACAGTGATGCAGAGACAAAGCATGGTTACAACTGGGTGTTGGATTGGAGCTGAAGAAGGCAATTGGGTGCATGTTGACACTGACTCATGCATAAGAAACAAGGGGATAAGGCATAATGAAGATGGACAAATCTGGCATCTTTGCCCTGGGCACTGGATGACCTTATTCTGGTACTGGCCCCAGCATATTACAATGCAAAATACAGTGTAATGTGATTGGCACACCCATAGGCCTTTGCTGGGATCCTCAATTTCTTCCCAGTATACTCCCATTTTGTTTACTTTTGCTTGTCTCTCTGGGAAACACTAGAGCTTAGACGTTCATTCTTAGCATCACAGCAGCACACTTCTCTTTATTAAAAGTGTTACATGTGCAATGCATGCTCTCTTTATCTCTCAATATGTGGCAGGCTTCAATGGTGCCAAAAGAGGCCTACAGGTGTGCCAATCACATAACACTGTATTTTGCAAAAAAAAAAAAAAAAAATTGCAGTGCATTGTAATATACCAGGGCCCCTTGGGTGGACTACGCCTCTAAGCTTTTTTGACAGTGTAGGATTACCTTTCAGAGGTAGGTGTGTTTTTTACTCACTTTTATTCTCTTCCTGTCAGACCATAAATGACAGTCCACTGTCAGCTGCCAGTGAGGCCCATTTTTTGTGCAGTCACAGCTGCATCTGGCAGATTGGTTTGTGAACAAACCTCACTATTGGTTCCTATTAGTGTGAGACATAAGGCTCAGAGCTAGGAACGTCCTGTGTGAGACCTGTGGCTCAGAACTGTGTGCTCACAATCAGTTTTCACAGGTTTGCAATTCGTAATTTTCATTTATTAACTTTCTCTTGGCTTGGCGAGCCTTGCCTAAGGACAGTAGTCTACAAAATGTGGGTGTCAAGCGGTTCTACTAATAAAATATATTTTATAGCATTCTGTAACACCTTGCATAGTGGCAGGGCTCTATTACTCTGTACGGTGCCTTCTGTAACATTATGAACATGCTTACAGCACAGGTTGATCTCATAAATTTACTGTTGCTCCTCATTGTGTAATTAGCAGGCTAAAAGTGCATCCTCGGCCAGCTGTGCAGCCTAACTGCACTGTATATCAGGGGCTTTCTTTTTCTTTCTGGTAGTGGTGACTGTTTGTCAGGTAAAACACTTTACTGTGTGTGCCATTCACATGTGATTTTAGGCTGTTTGCAAGTTCTGCTTTAAAGCTGAACTCCGGGTATATTTTTTGTTGCATACTTACATTGGTCCAGCTTGGTACAAATTGAGCATACAGTATACTGTATTTTCCGATGTATAAGGCGACTGGGTGTGTAAGACGACCCCCTAATTTTCCAGTTAAAACATAGGTTTTGGGCTATAATCGCCGTATAAGACTACCCCCCCCCCCCCCTCTGAGCTAACACCATTTAAAAACATCAGATTTGATTTAAATAATTTTAATTAAAATGGTTATGACTTACCAGTACTTAAAATCCTTCAAAATAATCATGTTCATCCTCTGACATCAGCAGCACAGTTATGTCCTTGGCAAAGTTTACAACTTTCAGTTGGAAACTGGCTTCATATTTCCTTCTTCTTGCTGAAGCCATGATGGGGTCTTGCCTACCAGCCATGTTGTTTAACCACTAGCCTACAGGGCACTTATACCCCCTTCCTGCCCAGGCCAATTTCCAGCTTTCAGTGCTGTCACACTTTGAGTGACAATTGCGCGGTCATGCAGCACTGTACCCATATGAAATTGTTATAATTTTTTTTGTGACAGAACTTTATTTTGGTGGTATTTAATCACCTCTGGGTTTTTTATTTTTTCTTAAACAAACCAAAAACTACTGAAAATTCTGAAAAAAAAAGTTTTTTCTTAGTTTTTGTTCTAAAATTTTGTAAATAAGTGATTTTTCTCCTTCACTGATGTGCGCTAATGAGGCTTCAGTAATGGGCACTGATAGGCTGCACTGATGGACACTGATAGGTGGCACTGATGAGGAGGCACTGGCAGGTGGCACTGATGGGCCTTGACAGAATCACTGATGGGCACTGAAAAGAAGCACTGATAGGCGGCACTGACTGGCACTGATAGGTGGCACTGATTGGCATTGATAGGTGGCACTGACTGGCACTGATGGGTAACACTGAAAGGCAGCTCAGATGGGCACTGATATGTGGCATTGATGTGCACTGGTAGGCACTGATATGTGGCACTGATGGGCACTGGCAGGTGGCATGGATGAGCACTGAGAGCTGGCACTGATGGACACTGACAGGTGGCACTACTGGGGCTACACTGATCATCAGGGCCCTGATGGTCAGTGCACATGTCCCCTCCGAGGAATACCAATTACCGGCTCTGCTCTCCTCTCGAGCTGTCAGCGTGACAGCTCGTGAGGAGAGAAATGCCGATGACCGGCATTTCCCTGTTTACATGCGATCAGCTGTGATTGGACACATCTGATCACATGACCAAGCCGAAATCTTTGGCTCTTTCCGTGGATCGGTGATCCGCTGTGTCCGAGAGACAGAGCGCACCGCCGATCGCCACGCTCCCGGAGCAGTGCATGCGCGATGAGAATGGGAGGACGTCATATCAAGTCCTCCCAGAATGAGAGAACCACCTTGCGCCCCGTCATTGGACTATATGGCAGGCGGGAGGCAGTTAAATACACCCACTAATCATCAGCCCGCTGGATGTGCAGTAATACGAAAGCACGTTGACTCTTTGACAACGTGCTTTCGCACGAAATGCGCCAGAGAGGAGCCTGGCCGCACTGATGTCACGCCGCCGAGGCTGCATGGAGGGCCGGCGACCATCTTTATAGCTTGTAAGCATACCACAATTTTTTCATGATCTGGATCTTATTTTATGCCAATACCTTAATAAAAATACTACACTATCCAAAAACCTTCGTTTTGTGGCTTGTGTATGAGTCATTTAAGGTGGATCATTATCTTTTTGGCAACTTATTCCTGTGGTGGAGATACATGAGAGGAGCTGTCCCTATTATGTGCTGTGAGGGTCCGGTTTGTGAGGTCTGGAGTGCTTTTCCTGTGTGCTGAGTGTGTACCAGTGGAGCCCCCTGTCCCCGCCAGAGCCCTGATGTACACCAAGGTTTCCTCAGATATAGTTACATACGCATTACCATTGCGCTTCTGGTGAGTGCAAGCATACTTCAAATCCTTATCACTGAAGTCACGAGCATGGAATCTGATCACTTTTTGGACTCTTTTTTTTTTTTTTTTTTTTTTATGTATTTCAAGATTTTTTCATTTGCCTATTTGATTTACTACGTTTATGTGGAACTATTGCATCATCCATTCACTAATTAATTCGTCATCATTTGACAACACTTTTATTTATTGTTAGCACGTTTCAGCGCAAATATTTTGCACCTAACTATATGCAATTGTCACTTTTATCATTTAGCGCTGCATTCTATTGATCAGTTTATTTGAGGATACAGGGGTTAATCCTTAATACCAGCAGCATATTTTTAATCGAGTTCTCGTTTGTTACACTTTTTAGTTTACAGAGGAAAACCTGCCAATGGGCAACTCAGTCCATCAGTATCTGCTGTTGGGTGGACCATTCATTTTTTACATGTGTCTAAAAAAAGTGAGAAAACTAAGTAGCTGTATAGAGAAGTTTTTCTATGTGTCCCAGTAAAGTTCTCCCATTGTCATATTTTTCATCTCTTGTGTGTCCCTCAATGCACTCAGAGAAAATGATACTGCAGTGAGTACAGAAATCCTATTTTTGTTGTTGTTCGTTGCGCTTATCAAGTAGTGCAGACAGTAATGACTAAATGCAGTTCCAGAGTCAGAGCAATAAAAGAAGAGTGCTGATTGGTTACTATTGCACTCTTTGCTTTACAAAATAAGTCCATCTAGCTCATGTACTTTAACTGTTTCTTTCATGGAAATGGCACACCCTGTATGATTAGTATATAGAGAAATCAATAAAACTGCAACCCTGTAGGCAGCATTTTTCAGCCTTTGTCTCTCAGCCTTGTTGGTTTCTTTTATTTAAAAAAAATATTTTTAACAAAGCATTATTAGTGTACAGTGAAATTACCCGTATTTCCCGTAGCTTGTACGCTGCCATTCTTAGAGGGTTATTTATGTTGCAATCTCTACACTTGACAGTTAGATGTTCTGAGTGCTGTGATGCTGCCATCTTTGTCTGTAATCCAGGCGCTGGGCTTGTGGCAGTAATTGTGCACTTTCTGTACTGTTGTGTAACTAGCGGAGTACAGTGTGGAATCGTTTAGGAAGCATAATAAACTTTCAGACTGCAGCACACTTTTTTTTTTCCCCTAGCTGCTTCCTAAATGGCAGTCGGGAGTTAGACTTGTTTCCTACGCTCATTCATTATGCTACAAAGCGGAGATTGCAGTGCCTGCAGAGACTGGATGTGCGCAAAGGTCACAGATAGAGAAGCCGTGTCCTGACATCAAAATTGTCCTTCTGGATTAACCCGTTGCCAAGCAGTCTGGACTTCTTTCAGTTTAAATATACAGCATTTTTAACAATTAAAAATAAAATACTTTTTTGTGAGTATTGGCCACTAAGGAAACATCGGTATGGAGCTTGGAACATGCTTCTAATTCCCAGGGCAGAAAAAGCATTTTGAGCTGAATGGAATAATATACATGAGCACTCAATAAAAAGTTTGCTTTGCACTGCTGTCTACATTGATAAATGCTGTGTTGTCTGCACTGAGGATCCAGCGCAGTGTTCTTTGCCATGCACACACACTTAGAAAAGCACAGAATTGTGACCTGGAGTGACCAGTTCCCAAGTGCTGAGTGTGTAGTAGCACCCAATCCCTACATGATTCAGGAATTCATTAGAGCTGAACTGTAGGGGGATTTCTGTCTGCTGAGAGCTTCAATAGCATGATGTAAATGGCCACTTCTAAAGTTGAACATTGTCATCAACGACATCAGGTCAACCAACCAATCCATTCAGCACTCTCACACAAACAGCCAGGAATGATAAAAACAGGTGGCCGAGCTGCCGGCCACCCACACTACTGCTAATATTACAGCCTGATAGGGCTGTGTACATGCTGCAGCCTCAGCATTGTTAACTCCGGCTGTAGAGTTTGATAGGTGGCACCACCTGTCAAACTCGCCCATTGAGTTTATTGGTAGCACACCGCAATGGTAAGCCAAACTCTTGGCTTACAGTTGAGGTGCAATTTTTTTTGCTACAAATTTGCCTCCTGCCAACTGCTGCTATACTGCTGGTATACCAGGAAGGGAAATAAGCACTGCCGCCATTGTGAATGAAACCTATCAATGTCCCTTGGCTTAGGTCCAGGTTGTACAATTGTTCCTGTTTAGAAAATGGAAGAGAGTAGCAGCACACAGTCATGGTGCCATCTTATATGGGGAGAACAATAGTAATTGGGGGAGAAGTTTCTGTTTGAACACTTTCTTCCCCAGAAATTATCATATAGACTATTGATAATAGGTATTGGATGGCTGTCAGACATGTAGGCTCTAAACAGGTGTGTGCAAAGAGACGAGGAGGCACTGATGGGCACTGATAGGCGGCACTGACTGGCACTGTTAGGCGGCACTGATAGGCAGTACTGACCGGCACTGATGCACACTGATAGGCGGCACTGACTGGCACTGGTAGGTGGCACTGATTGGTAGCACTGATAGGTGACACTGACACTGGTAGGTGGCATGGATGAGAACTGACAGCTGGCACTGATGGACACTGACCGGTGGCACTACTGGGGCTACACAAATCATCAGGGCACACCGATCATCATTCCCCGGATGATCAGTGTAGATGTCCCCTCTAAGGGATGCCGATTATTGTCTCTCCTCTCCTCTCAAGCTTGTCAGCGTGACAGCACGTGAGGACAGAAATGCCGATAACCGGCATTTCCCTATTTACATGTGATCAGCTGTGATTGGACACAGCTGAGCACATGACCGAGCCGATATCTTTGGCTCTTTCCGTTGATCGGTGATCCGCTGTGTCCGAGGGACACAGAGCACTGCCGATCACCGTGCTGCACGCTCCCAGAGCCGAGCATGCGCGGTTAGAATGGGAGGATGTCATATGACGTCCTCCCAGCACGAGAGAACCACCTTGTGCCCATCATTGTACTATATGGCGGGCAATATGTGGTTAAACACAATGAGAGGAATGTATCAAAACTGGAGCAAACAGAATTTGGAGAAGCTGTGCATGGAAACCTATCAAAGCCTAAGTGAACAATGTTAGAAGATAAGAAGCTGGTTGTTGCTGTCACAGACTTGGGGCTGCAAGCGAACCATTCCCTGGAGAAATCTGTTTTATTGTCTTTTCAACTTATCCAGAAAGAACTATCACTGTAACATATGGCTTCCTATGTGGGTGCTGGACTGTCTGGGGTGAGCATTGTCTATGATAATGTGATCAGCTCTTATCTGATGGTTTCTGTATAAATTCTGTGTTTCTCTAATAAAGCAGTTCCTTTTGTTTACTCCAAAAACTGGTGGTGTCTAGGTTTTGGGGAAGCCACAGCTATAGTCACTTGCCTTGTGTTCCAGAGCTTGGAAAGCAGCTTCTTTGCGGACATACTCAGTTGGGGTGTCAGGAGTCCATCACAGTTGCTATGCACAGCTGCTCCAGATTCTGTCAGCTCCATTTTTTATAAATTATCCCCCAATGTTTGTAAAAGCTATTGCAAATTCTATCTACAAAATAGATGTCTTTGGATTTCTTTCATAATTGCAGAAACATGGCCAACATAAGAAGCATCAAACATCTCTATAAGTGAATCTTGGGATTGAGAAAAAATCTAAATATCATTAACTTTTTATAAGTAGACTCCACAAACCAGGTAACTAATATAACCGAGAGAAACCAATTAGGACACAATTCTTGGGAGTTTCACATTGCAATGAACTGTAATTTTATCACAGGCGCTGAAAATGATTTTATGTCACAAAGTTTAGCGCAGGTTGCCAATTGAAGCAGTAACTTTTTTTTTTTGCTTTCTTTTTACTTTAGTCATCTCACCTCCGAAGGACTCCAGCCACTGATGAGCATACAGAGAAAATATAGACTGCCGCTGCCGGGAAGAGAAGCGGAGACAGAGCAAATGACCGTGTTGCAGACTGGGCCACGCTTAGAACCCCCAACAATTGCCGGCATACTGCTGATTGCAGGTACTGAAGCCATTTGCCACCTCTTGCAGGCAGGTGTGAAGAGAGAAAATGAACCCTTATGTTACTTCAGCTTGGTAGATCTGGGAAGCATCACTCCATTACCAGCTTCATAGCCCTTTATCCTGAAGATCGTTCCTTATTAACCCTTTCAGGTTTACAAGGACCCTGGGAACATCACTCCATTACTTTATCAAATCTTACAGCTTTTCAGTTCATGGACTAAGGGCTGAGGTCATGTAGCCACCTCCACTTCTCTTTTGGAGTTTCCAGAGCCCATACAGTGTCTCCTACTAATCAAAAGCTCTTTTTAATAAGGGCTCGTCTGAGCCATTTTCTCCCTCCTCTTGCTGTTGCCTGGGTGATGAGGAATCAGTACCCACGAAGCCCCCACTATTGGCACTGACTGCAGCATCCCCTCCTGTGAGAACCAATCACCTCCCGCGTGGAGACCCACAGCAAGCAGCTCTGTAATGTCTATGTGATGGGATCACGAGCTTTAATGTTCTTTGGAAGGGGCCCAGCAATTGCTGCGCCTGAAGCTTCTATCCAGGGAAGAGCTGAGCTCAAGGGGTGTTACATCAATTGAAGTAAGAAAGTGAATAAACAACAAATAGCAATGCGTTCTAGTAATGTGCGGTAAGGGGTCGTGGTCCCAGTCGTGCAGACTCCGAAGTCCTTCATTTTAGAACAATAGATGCAAACTACATTTTGTTTTATACCTTCAGAATGTGAACAAAGTCTTCAGAGCACTGTGGATTGGTGACAGCTCCTCCCAGGAGGAAAGCCTAAGAGAGGTAGAATTAATTTCAGCGGCAGTAAACCCAGTGTGACATGACAAGCCATGTGTCTGCCTCTTCTGTATGACACGACTGCACTCTCTTATATTAAAAAATATATCAAGTCACATTTTATGTCCAACACATTACATTTCTTCCGCAACGGTGAACTGTACAAGCAGAATGACTGTGCCTGCATTGCAAGCGTATAGTCTACATGTAAATTACATCACATTAGTTATGAAAAGTCCTAGGTTTTATAATTAAAAGGAAACTCCAGGCTACAGAAAACGAATAAATATTCTAGAAAAAGAACAATTTTTGTGTGTGATTTATTTTTTCTATTTCAGATGCACTGTTTAGCATAAAAAATACTCAACAAAAAGGACATTTAGCAGGAACAAAAGTGTTCTGTGGCACCGTTCTCTTTCTCTATGCTGAAAATACAACTACTAGTCACTGCACACAATGCGGTTTGATCCATAATAGACTTCCTCACATACTGTCAATGCAGAAATGGAGAGGGCTGGAGAGCACTAGAACTGAGGTGGTGGGTGGGACAGCCATCGGAGAGGGGAATGAGGGGGCAGCCATTGCAGATGGGGTTGGAAGGAAATTTTTGCAGGGATTACATTTTACAGCATGAGGGCCAAGCCAAGGGACAGTGTTTCCTGCAGACATTCTACAGGGGACCTTGGATTCTGCCTGTGTGATGCAAGACACTCAGCAACTTTGTGCTCCATGTCAGCCCCAGTGGCACCCTAGACCATAGCCCATGTGGCTTATGGACACATTGGATCCTGCACAGATCTCAGAATACAGTAATATAGCTAGTGTTTATTCCATGTAAAAGCAAAGCATTGTATGTTTTTGGCATTTAATCACTTAGTGTCTTTAAGTGTATTATTACATTATTAACCACATGCCGCCCAGCCATTGTATAAATACGGCGGCAGGGCGGCACGGCTGGGCAAAAGCACGTTTTAAAATGTGTTTTTGTAAACAGGTAGGGGGCGCACGCGAGGCACGCTGCCGCCCTACCTGTCTCGTCGATCACAGCCGCGGATGTCAGTCGCTGGGTCACAGCCAGTCGTTACCGGCTATGTCCCGGCGATCGGCGGCAATCACTGACAGAGAGCACAGCTGCAGTAGCTGTGCTTTCTGTCAGTTCCCTGACAGCTCCAGGACAAGCTGATTGGGACAGAAGAGTTTCTCTCTCTCGATCAGCGGTGTTCCCTGCAGTACACACCCCCGCCCCCTAGTAAACGCTCCCCTCACACAGTTAACCCTTTCCCTGAAAAATAAACTTAACCCCTTCCTCCCCAGTGCCATTAGTACAGTGTCAGTGGTTTTTTTTTTTTTTGCACTGATCACCGTATTGGTGTCACTGGGGATGTCAGTGACTCCAAGTCAGTACCCCCCAATGTCAGAATGTCCGCCGCAGTCCCGCCATAAGTCGCTGATCGCTGCCATAAGTCGCTGATCGCCGCCATTATTAGTATAACAAAAAACTAAAAATCCCACTATCTTTCCCGCCATTTGTAAACGCTATAACTTTCACGTAAACCAATTAATTTACACGTATTGGAGGGTTTTTTTTAGCAAAGACGTCGCAGAATGCATTTTGGCAGAAATTTATGACTAAATTTGATTTTTAATTTTTTTTTTTTACTGGACATGTTTTATAGCAAAAAGTCCAAAATATAGTTTTTTTTCCTCAAAATTGTCAGCCTTTTTTTTTTATAGCACAAAAAATAAAAACTGCAGAGGCGATCAAATACCACTGAAAGAAAGCTCAATTTGTGAAAAAAAAAACGGATGTAAATTTCATTTATGTACCGTATTGCATGACCGCGCAATTGTCCGTTAAACTAGTGAAGCGCTGTATAGCAAAAAAATGGCGTAAATTGCAGTATCTATACCATAGTTTGTAGACGCTATAAGTTTCACACAAAGCAATCAATATACACTTATTGGTATTTTTTACTAGAAACATGTAGCAGAATGCATTTTGGCCTAAATTTATAACCAACTTTGAGTTTACTATATATTTTTTTTATGGCTGAAAGTAAAAAATATTGTTTTTCTTCAAAATTTTTGGCCTTTTTTTGTTTATAGCGTGAAAAATAAAAAGCGCACAGGTGATCAAATACCACCGAAAGAAAGCTCTATTTGTGTGAAAAAAAGGACGTAAATTTCGTTTGGGTGCAGCATTGCATGACTGCGCAATTATCAGTTGAATTAGTGCCGCGCCGAGTAGTAAAAAGAGGCCTGGTCAGGAAGGGGGGTAAATCCTCAGAAGGTCAAATGGTTAAAGAATAATTCCAGGCATGGTATATTTTTGCATAGTTACATTGGTCCAGACTGGGCCAATGTAAGTATGTACATACAATACCTGGCCAATGTCCCAGAAAGCTGGCAGTCACAGAAGTACTGTAGACACCCCTTACTCTAGGGATCTGCACATGCACTTCCAGGTTCCAGTTGCCGTGCTGCATTTTGAACACAGGATGCCGGCCACTTGGCATTTGCGCCATTCAGAAAATGCAAAGCATTCTCTGGATGGCGCAATTGCCAAGTATTCTATAATTTGACGAGATGGGGTGATGTTACATTCTCCACCTTGTCCAATCAGATGAGGTATCCCCAATACTGCTATACTCCCTTCAGCACCCCCCCCCCCCCGGTTGCTCTTTGACCTGTGCAGTCAGAGACCATCCTCTGGGAACTCACTACCCCAATCCATCAGACTGTCACCTACCCTCCTCACCTTTAGACGCACCCTGAAAACCCATCTATT